TGGTTGGGGGAAGGCAGAGACAAATGTATTTGAAAAAATAAAAAATAATAAAAAATAAAAAAATAAAAAATTTAAATCCATTAAAAAATGTAGAATACTATGCAGCAGAAAGAAAAAAAAGAACTACTAAACTTCACGACAGCATGGATGGATCTGGAGAGCATTATTCTAAATGAAATAAGCCAGGGGGCAAAAGACAAATACCATGTGATCTCACCTATAAGTGGAACCTAACCAACAATACAAAGATGCAAGGAAAATAAGACCAGCAACACTGAAAGGAAAAGAAATCAACAGAGACAAGAGGGAAGGAGGGAGGGGAGGCAGGGAAAAGGAAGGGAAGGGGAAAGTCAAGGAACATATAGCAAGGACTCATGGACCAAACCAAAGGGGAAGAGCTGAGGGAGGGAAGGAGGGAGGGGGCAAGGGAAAGTGGTGGGGGGGAGGCAGAGACAAATGTATTTGAAAAAATAAATTCAAATAAAATTTTTTAAAAATGCAGAATATACCTAAAGAAAAAAGAAAAGAAAAGAAATTAGAGCTTCTCTGCCTATAACAATAACCTTTATTTCTTGGAGGAATTTCTGAAAAGGCCATATTTGCCTTAAATTCTCAAACTTTTTCAGATGACTACTATGTGACAGGTGATTTTAAGTACAGGACCACCTGTAATTTTCAAAGGATCCTGTAAATATCAGCTGAGAGGGTTTGCTGTCTTCACTCAGTAGCACTTTTCTACATTTCCCTTTGAGACAACCTGTATAATCTCAGTTGAACATTTTCTCTTTCCTCTTGATGCATATCCAAAATCTTATGGGTTTCTACTACTTCAACATGCCTGGATGTACCTGAACACTTAAACAGGTACCATCAGGCACAATGAAAATAATTATTTTTCTGTGGGACAGATACACAGACAAAAAAGAGTGGAGAAATGGATCATTTTTTTTTTCATTTTTAATTAGGGTGAGCATGTGTACCAAGAAACCATTTTTCACCTATTAGGATCTCCAAGTTTTGGGAAATTTAGTCTCTACAGATGTTTGCTTTACAGCTATTTCCATTATTTTTCTTCATGTACCACTTATGAGGGAATCTTTGTGTTTTGACTAGCTAGGTAAGGTGGTTCATCTGTATATGGGTTCAGTAGCCGGTTTCAAATAAAATACCCCATAAAAAATCTTAGTTTAAATAATAAGTATTTTTAAAAACCCTCTAACTTCAGGGTTATATCACAAAATTGGTAGATTGTGGGCCAAATTGGACTCTGCTCACCAGTTCATTTGGAAAACATTTTAAGAATGTGTTGAAGACATCCAACAGGATTACCAAGTACCTAAAGGTCATTTTTCAAATTCAAAGGGACTTTTTGCCATCAGAGGGGTTCTAGGGTGAGGGATGGATGATCAGGGGACTTCAGCAGAGAGTAGAAATGATTTATGCTGGATGTGGGGGCAGGTAATTTGGGACCGTTCCACTGTGAGTGGGCACAGTCTTCAGAGGAGGCAGCATACCAGGTTCCAGATTTGGACAGGAGGGCACACAGAGGAAGACCAGGTGAAGGGTGCTATTATGTGAGAATGTGCTGGGACTGGACAAAAATGCCAGCACCTTAGCTCTCAATGAACCCTGGGACTTTGGCAGGAGGACCTTAGGTAAATAAAGGCCACAGATAGTACCCAGATAGTGCTTGATTTGCATCATCACCTTCCTTCCTGAAGCCTGCTTTTAGTACCTTGGCTACAAGGTCCCTCTTTCTGTTGCCAGATGAGGTGGCATGGGTCCTGAAGGTCCCTGTTCGAGAGCCAGCTGATGAAGAGTGTGGACTCTGCCCCGCAGAGTGTGCTCTGGGTCATCATGGATGGGGGAATAAAATAAGTCATCCCAGACACTTTTTGTGGTCTGCCAGGGAAAGGGGTGGTGATCCCTTCTAGTGGAGAAGGCCCCGAGCCCTTCTCTTGAAGTGGCTTTTATTGAGAACCATATGCACAGGGTATATAGCATGGATACAAAGCTCATCAATGTCAAAAAGCTATGTTTACAGAAAACAAATAGAGATCATAGATAACAATTGAAGGATCTCAAGAGATTTGCCTCAGGTCAGGGTCTGGTAGACAGGGTGGCTCCCATTCAGCCATGAAACCTAGGAAACGGATCACATTCTATGCTCAACCCCAAACATCAGCACTCATCAACTAGAGGGCATTCTTAGCAAAGTAAGTTTCATAGGATTTAATGCATTCCTTTTCCAGGCCTAATTGTCCCTGGGAACCACCCGATCCAATTTAGGGTTGTCTCCAATATTGTTTCAAGCCTGAGCCAGGTAGGCAAGGCACAACAGCCAAGAGATATGGAGACTCCTTTCAGATAGAATGAGGACTCTGGCCATGACAAAGCTGAGGGTAAGGGTCTTTTGCCCTTCCTCTGTGCCCCCCAAGTCTTTCCCGTGATGGCCCCTTGCGGCTGTGCTTGCCTTAGGTTGCCCCTGCAATTGAGGGGTGTTACCCATCATTGACTAACCAGGCATGCCCTGGGGCCAAGCAGGGTGATGTGAGGGAGGCAGGGCCTGTGCCCCTGCCAGGGGGACAGGTTTTGTTTCCTCAGTGGCCTATTTTCACAAGACCTCCTTGCTCAGCTCCAGCCTTGGGGCCCTCTTGCCTATCAGCAAGGCTACAGTTCCTGCAATCAGATGAGACTGTTCCCAACAGCCAGAGAGACATTATGTAGTACTGAGAAGAGAAGTGATTTCTGAATCAGGTCAGCCACAGGGTGGAATGGGTAGAAGTAGCATGAACTGTAGATGAACTCAGACCAAGGGTCCAGTCTCTGCCCTGTCACTTACTAGCCATGTGATACTGGGAAAACTACTGGGCCTTATGAGCCTCAGGTTCTTCATCTGTGAAGTAAGTGGGTTTGATAAACTCTGTCTTGTAGGACTTCAGGAACATATGGAGAGTTTGTAAAGCACCTTACACAGTGCTTTGTGTATATTGAAACTTTGATGAATAGCAGGTTTTTTTCTAGTATTATATTACCCCCAAGCCCTACTGCCCTGTACTCCATAATTTTTTTGTTTTTGTTTTTCAGATCTCAGAGAATATGCAGTGAAATAGGACACAGAATATTACATTAGTCAAAAATACTGCTTCATAAATAAAAATCAGTACATTTTCCCTCCTAGAGTGTCCATTATTTAATTTGGGTGTGGGGGAGTCTTTCCCAGCTAGATGTAGCTAAAAGCTCCTAGGATTTGAGTCAAAGACCAACTTCTTCCTTCTCTCAGAAGCTCTTACATCCAAACCACAATTTTCAGTCATTTCAACCCTATTGAATAGCCTTTGTTTAGATCTGTGCAAATTACTCAAGATAATCTAATTAAGTATCATTTTTAATACAGTAGGTCTAGTGTTCTGTGACCAGGGAAGAGTGTCAGTCTAGAGGTTTCTGGGTACTACTTCAAAGGACTATCACTAGATTTTCCAGAAATCCTATCAGATGATAAGTATAAAATATCTAGTTTGCACATTGTTTTTAAGTGTACTGAGACAAGAATGTGGACACTTTCCCTATCCGTCTTAGGTGAAGATTGCTCTCTGGTTTATTCACCATCCCCAAAATAACTGCTAAGGGCAGTTTTCCACTCCAGACTTTTTTTTCTCATTCCCCAAGACATGCAATCTGTGAGTCTGGCCATCACTCCACCCAGCTGCATTTAAATTTAACTCCTCCAGGACGGACAGTTTCCCATTGCTCCAAATATCCTGGCCTGGGCTATTTACCCTTGAGTGCTTTTCCCTGGAGACCACTGCCTCTCCCCTTCTTTTACTTGTTCTGTATGTCTTACTCTCTGCCTTCCTTATATTACTGTGGCTTCTAAACTATCATTCTATGGATGGGTGTGTACTGCTCATACTAGTGTCCCCACTACTTACCCAGGGCCTTCCTGAGAGCCAATGTTTAATTAATGATTGTGGGAGAAATGAGCCACTAAGCATGGGTCTTATTTAATCAGTTTAATTTTCCCTACATTTTTAAATAAGCCAAGCATATCCAGGTATACATCTTTTAATTTTATAGAGTGACACAATAAAAGGGATAAGGGAAGGCCAGAATTAATTTTTTTAAAACTTTTTTCTGTATTTCTTGACCCCATCAATTTTACTTCTGACTTCTTTCATATTTCCAAAGAAACCTTTTTTTTTTTTTTTAATACTATGCTGTCTTGTTCTAGATCACAAAATAAGATGGAAGGTTTCCCACTTTGTTTTACAAAATAACAAAATGCAGAGAATCTTAAAAGCAGCAAAAGAAAAACTATTTCCTATGTACAAGGGGCCACACCCACCCAGCCCCATGGAACTATCAGCAGATTTTTCAGCAGAAACTTTGTAGGCCAGAAGGGAGTGACACAATATATTCAGTACTGAAAGAAAAAAAAACTGTAAACCTTGAATATTCTTCCCAGAAAAGTTATTCAGAATTGAAGGAGAGATCAAGTTTTTCATATAAGTAAAAGCTAAAGGAATTCATGACCGCTAAACTGTCTTTAAATGACACACTAAAAGGACTTCTTTTAAGTTGAAAAGAAAGGGTGCTAATTAATGACAAGAAACATACAAAAGTATAAATCTTAGTGATAAAGGTAAATACACAGTAAAGGTAGTGGATTAATCTCTTATAAAGCTAGTATGAAAGTTAAAAGACAATAGTACTAAAAATAACTATATGTACAAGATAGGTAAAACACTCACTTCTTAAACTGCATAAACAGCTGTATATTTGTGACCGATGTCATTTGTAAACTTAGAACTTGAAATTAATTAAATCTTTCATTAATAAGAACAACATCTGAAAAATGCCATAAAAGAAAAAAATAAATCTCCAAACCCCCTTTATAGAAGAACACAAAGATACTAAATTTGTCAATCCTCATTCTGCTTCTTGACCACTTAAAACAATGACTACTTGTTTCAAAAGCAGTGAAAAATCTGCTTCATATTTCACTTAGGGCTACAGAAACTGCCAAATGTAGTTCTTGAATAGGCCCAGGCTCTGGTTCCTGCTGCCCCACTGCCACTGACAACAACTCTGGCTTGGGATCTCCCTTCCTCTTCTCTCAAAGCCTCTTCATACAAGATAGGAAAGGCCATGGATATGGTATCATTGACCTTGGTCAAAATCTCCAGGACTTTCATCTTGCTGGTTTCAGCATAGGCTCTAGGACCCCACAGGAATTCATAGCATGCAGGATCACTTTTGGGCACCTGGCTGGTACACCAGGTACTGTTCATGAACCCGATCTTTGGTGATGAGCTTCCTAGGTTCTCCATAGATGAAGTGCTCCCTCCCATCATACACCCCCATAACACTCAGCAGTTCCCAGATATCCTCTTCTGGGGCACAGTTGCCATCCATTAAGATCACACCCAGAATGTTTATCAAGAGGCCAGTCTTGGGCACACTCCACTCATCATTCAACATCCCATTGCAGGTGAGGCCTAAGGTGTTGATCAGAACATAGGAGTGGCTGGTAGGATCCATTTCTTTCACATCAATACCAAAGACCAGCTGCATGCACTCAGATGCTTGGTTAAAGATCACAGGGAAGTAATCCTTGTACTCTGATGATACTACTTAACATTTCTGCTTTTGTGATTGGTTCCTTTGTTCTATACTTGAGGAGCAGGAACTCCACCAAAGCAGCCACCTTATTCTCTATGGCATTTCTAAGCAAGAGTCCAAAGTCTAGCAGAGCCTGAGAAGTGCTTGGCTCCTCCTCTTCCTGGCAGTTAGAATCCTGATGTGATTTGATTGATGGAGTGACTTCAGTGACAATGGGAGAGAAGTAGGCTCTCTGAGGAAACTGGAGGGGACATGGTGCGCTAGCAGCAGAGGCAGGTACCTTCATGATTTCTGTTACCTGACAATGGCAGGAAGAAATAGGGGAAGAGGATGAGGAGGAGGCAGAGGAAGAGCAGGAATAAGAGGAGCATGGGGAAGAAGAGGAGGAGCAAGAGGAGGTGGAGGAAGAGGAACAAGAGGAGGTAGAGAAGAGGAAGAGAATGGGGAGGAGTGGGAGGAGAAGGGAGAGGAAGAACAGGAGCAGGATGAAGAGGAGGTAGAGGAAGAGGAAGATGAGGAGGAGGAAGAAGAAGAGGTAGAAGAGGAGGAAGAGGATGAGGAAGAGGGAGTGGAGGAAGGAGAGGAGGAGGAAAAGGAGGAGGAAGAGGAGGGAGAGGAAGAGCAAGAGCAGGAGGGGAAAAAGTAGGTGGCTTCCTCTTCCTTAGTCTCATGAATCTGTGCACCAAAGAGGCCCTGTGCCTCACTTTGGGACTGAGAACCTTCCTCAAGCGTGTAGCACCAACGTTTTGGAGTAGGAAACATGATGACTTCTGTTGGCAAGAATATGAGCAGGAGTGGGCAATGAGAACCATGGGCCTGGGGGAGAGAGGATATGTGAGTGACCACAACCAAGAAATACACACTTCACAGCTCTAACAAAGACAATGTACAGGTCTTCTCTTCAGGGGTGCTTTTGGGCCTCACAGAGGTCTCTCTTCCTGTGCAGTCTGTCATCTAAGATCCTAAGTGAGGAAGTGAGATGGCTTATTAGGATGCTGCCAGCACTCCCAGGATTCTGGGGCTGACCATGGGGTGAGAAGAGTTTCAGTGTTGTGAGGCCACCTCTGTTTTGAGATAGGAGAGACCCTGGGGACACATTCAGGTCATGCACCTTACCTTGATTGCTGGCGCTGCCTGGGCCTCCTCTGCTCTGTGACCCGGAGTCATGTGCCTCAGACCAAGGCCTTTACCTCCTACTTCTTAGAGCTCCTGTAAGAGGAAATGAGATAGTACCTGAGGGTGGAGACTGCAAACACAGTCCTGGTCCCCCAGTGTTTACAGAAGAGGTGGGCCAGACTCTCTGGGGTCCCCTTTGTTCTGGGGTACATAGTCCATCTGTGCTAAGGGTGCTTACTTTATTTGTGGCAGGACCTGGGGTCCACTCCTCTGTTGGTCTGAGGCAAAACTCTCAGAACAAGATCACACACCTCTGAGGTCAAACAAGAGGAAGTGAGGTAGTCCCACATATAGGCACACCTGCCCAGTGCTTCCAGGGAAACAGCAAGGGGTGGAAAAATACCATAGAGTCCATCTGTCCTGGGATGTAAGATCTGCTCAGTCCTCACCTTGATGCCTAGTAGGGATTCCCTTTGTTTACCTGAGGCTACCCTCCTTAAACAAATGTCTCACATTTATTTAAGACCAAAGATGAAAATGAGGGGCAACTAATGTAGCCACACTACTTCAGGTTCTTTCATGGCTGACAGTAGGGGCAGGGAGGGCTGGATTTTTGTACATTCTCCTGTGGGTTCACACAATCTTCTCTCACAGCCTTTACCATGATTCCCCAAAAGACTTGGGCCTCCTCACTCTACCTCCATGAATACAGACTTCTGTGGTTAAAACTCACCTTCCTCAGATGCTCAAGCAGGCAGACAGGAAACATCATATTCGCAACCCCTTCCCCATCCCCATCCCCATCCCCATCTCCATCCCCATCCCCATCCCCACTCGAAGCTGCCAAAGATTGATAGCAGGAGACTATTCCTGTGAAATCCCTTTCGTCCTAGGGTCCAAGGTCCCCTCATCCTCCCTCTGTGTTCTCACTTTGACTCCCAGCAGAACCTAAGCCTTCCCGCTGCCAGCCTGAGACCCTCTCTTCATACCAAGCCCCAGTCTCTCTTACACGTGGATGCAGAACTTAAGAAACACCCCTGTGGTCATCCTGCACTGGGACCTCCCAGGCTGACTCTACTCTGGGATCCAGGTTCCCTCTGTGCTCCTTGTCCATCTAGGTATAACCTTGGTCCTCCCACTGCTGTCCTGAGGCTTTGCTTCTTCCTTAAACCAAGCCCTCAAAGTCTCTCACACCCCAAAGGGATGGTCAGGAAAGTGCGCATGTGGTACTCCCACCATGGGGCCTCCCAGGAGTGAGTGTCCTGGGGTCCAGGATCCCTTAGTCCTCCCTCTGCATCCTCATTTTGACTCCTGGCTGGACCTAGACCTCCCCTCTGTGGACATGAGGCCCTCCTCCTTAAACCAATTCCCCAGTCTCTCTCAGACCCGGATGCAGCAGTCAGGACATGCTGTGTTTGGTAATCCCATTCTCTGGGCCTCCCAGACCTGATTTTCTCCTGGGGCCCAGGGTCCCTCAGTCTTCCCTCCACATCTTCATTTTGGCAGGTGCTGTGCCCTCCTGCCTATGAATCTGAGGTCCTGCTCTTTATACCAGTTCCCCAAGTCTCTCTCAGACCCCTGTGTGGAAGAACACTGTGTGTGGTTGTCCTGGCATGTTGATTCTCAGGGCTGACAGTACAGGAGACTTTCTGTGGGGTCCTCTCTGCTGTCCAGGGTCCCTCTGTACTGACGTTGACTCTGACAGCTCCTGGGCCCTTGCTTTGCTGACCTGAGGCTCTGTTCCTTACATCAAACCTCAGAGTCTCTCAGAAACAGATGTGAAAGTCAGGAAATGCTGCATGTGGCCATCCCACCATAGGGACTCCCAGGGCTGACAGGAGGGGGGTACTTCTGTAGGGTCCTTTTTTTGTGGGATCCAGGGCCCCTCCATCTTCCCTCAGGATTCTCATGTTGACTCTGACAGATTCTGGACCTTTCTTCTGCCAATTAGAGGTCCTGTTCCTTACATCGAATCCCAGAGCCTCTCAGAAATGGACACAGAAGTTAGGACACACCACTTTTGTTCATCCCGCTCACTAGCTCTCACATACCTGGTTTTATTCTAGTGTCCAGGGTCCCTCACTCTTCCCTAGGTGTCCTCACATGACTCTGGCAGGACATGGTCTCCCCCTCTTCGAATCTGAGGTTCTGTTCCTTATATCAAACCTCCAGAGTCTCTGAGACCCAGATGCAGAAGTTGCATGTTGCTATCCCATCCTGAGGCCTCTCAAGCCTGATATGGTTTGAGGTACAAGGTCCCTCTGCCCTTCCTCATATTCCTCACCTTGAGCCCTGGCAGGTCCTGGGGTTTTCTATCTGTTGACCGAAGGTCGGACTCCTCAGATCAAGGCTTTACTGCCCTGAGTCCTCTGGGAGGAGTCAGTGGACGTCACATCCGCTGCCAAGCCTAACAATTCCCAAGGCAGATGGCAGGGGCCAAGATGGATTATGTGGGTTCCTTTAGTCCTCCTGGTATTCTCCACTTAGACAAGACCTGGGCCCCCAGCCCTCTACGGACCTGAGTCTGCACCTCTCAGACCAAGGCTCTGACTCTCTGTGTTCCCTGAGGAGGTGGTGGCATGGGAGGGAAAGGTACGAACAGGAAGCCCAGCTTCCAGAATTTAAATACCTGCCTCATTCATCTTATACATTTAAAACTCAAGTCCAGGTTCTATACATACTAAGGAGAACATCACCCCAAGATTTAAACAAGATTTTAAAACACGGCTAAGATAATCAGTTGAGTAAGTCTATTCACTAAAGACAGCCTAAAGGTGGTTATCTCAACCTTGAAAACAGAAAACTGGGGAAAGCCCTGTGGACAGTGGGAAGAGGAGGTGAGATGGAAAATTTCCCTGGTAGTAGCCAAGAAGTAAATGGTGTTCAAGGTGCATAAGAGTATCCTGTAAGACAGAAGTAAGATGATTCACATCCCCACAGAGACAGCTACATTACCTTGAAATGATTTTAAATAAGACATACAAAAACTAGGTAATGGTGAAGGGTGAGAAAGAACAATGAACTACTGAAATAGGTGGTCTTGGAAAAAGGTTTAGAAAAAGCATTACATGCCTACCATGTGACCCACTAGAATTGAACATGGAGTCAATCAGTTTGCAAAGGCTCTTTAGGAGTGCTATAGAAATGTCCTTTTCCTCATTCCAAAGCATCCTATTTTCATCACCGTCCTCCCCATGGAGGTGTCAGGATGGTGCTTTGTGATGTCTAAGCTTCTCTCCCAGAGTTACCATTGGCTGAACCAGGAGAGCCTTGCTGACAAATTAAAGCTTACAGGGTGTGGCCCCTCATTGTCCTAGAGAAAAGTATATTTTCAGGAGGCCAGGGGTAGACCTCTGGGAAATTTTAACATGGTGGAGGTCACCAGGAAACTACAAACTTCTAGCACAGTTATGAAATGACCAACCCCAAGCACCAAAAGAAGGTGAAAAAGAAGGAGAAGAAGGGGAAGGACGGGGAGGGGGAGGGGAGGGGAAGGGGAAGGGGAAGGGGAAGGGGAAGGGGAAGGGGAAGGAGAAGCCCTGTCGACCCAGGTCCAGGGTCAAGGATGAAAGGACCACACCCAAACTTTTCCTCTTCTTTAGTGACATCTCCCGAACACTCCCTTTTCTTGCCTAGCAGATCCCATCCTGACCTGACACTTTTTCTCATGAAGCTTTTTCCCCATCCAAACCCCACTATCTTCCCCCAAACCAATGTCCTTCTTTGCTCACCCTGTTGTCCTTCCAGGTGCCCAAGAAAACCATGGGGGTAAAAAGACACCTTTAAGGGAGTTTGATGGGGGGAAAAAGCCTTTTCAAATATTTCCGCACCTTCAAGAAAATCTAAGAAAGCTAGAAGGCCAACACTATGTCGCCATTATCATAGGCTGAATGAGGAACTGAATAAAAATGAGTCAGAACAAGACCAAGACAACATAGAAAATTTCACTACCTCAAGTGATGACCTGGGCAGCCAGTAACTTCAGGGTAAAGCCAAAGACCTCAGAATTACCTGTGAAGTCTCTGAAGTCTAGCCCCTGAGAAATGGCCAACAGTGTGAAGGCTAAATCTTACACCTACAGGGTACAACAATAGTGATAATTAAAATAAAATTAACAAGTTGTGAACAGGTGTGTGTGTCTTTATGCGTTCTCTGAATGTGGGAAGGGAGGAAGGAAGATAAGAGACAGGTGTATAAAAAGGGAAGAAGGTGGGGTCCTGCAGGTGTGGGGGATAAAAACAGAAGGCCCACAGTTAGACAGACATGAAGAATAAGGACTAGGTGAGATCTGAACACTGAAGATAAACAACAGCAAAATATTATACTTTATTCCATGGACAAGGAGAAAAAGAACTTGATGCCTCTGCCTGGTGTGTGTTTTGGAGGAGCAGGGCAAGATGTCAAGGCATAGATTGCAAGAACTTAATGGATTGATGTGTGACAGACCAATATATTACCTCTAGACCACCTACCTTATAGTTGTATTTGTTGTGTCCCACCATATGCTGTAAGAAAGTGAAGGTCCTCAAAATGAGCAAAAATATCATGCTAAAAGTCAATCACAGCACCCCCAGCACCAAAATAATGGTATTTAGACACCTGAATCCAACACTGATAAGGCTAATTTCTTGTTAAGAAACTTTAGGTAGTGTAGTGCCTTTCTAAAGCAGATAATGGGAGTGGTTCACTCCCAGTACAGGCAGTAAATTGCAGAAAATAAAATTTTATTGTATTTATTGAGGTTACATTGGCTAACAAAATTATATAGGTTTCAAGCATACAATTTTATACTACATCATCTGTGCGTTGTATTGTGTGTTCACCACCCCAAGTAATTCTTCTTCCATCACCAATCCCGCTTTACCCTCTTCTACTTGTCCTCACCCTCCTTTCCTTCTGTAATCACCAAACTATTGTCTGTCTATATTTTTTATGTGCTTAATTATTTCACCTATTTTATCCATCCCCCTAAGTTCCCTTTCCTCTGACAGCTATCGGTATGTTCTCTATATCTATGAGTCTGTTTCTATTTTGTTTGTATATTTTGTTCA